TGTAAGTACATCCGAAGATGAACATGCGAGAGTTCTTTACTAGTAACATAGACATGAATCTGAATATGAATTTTGAGCACATACTGTCAAAAACAGGCCTCCTCTCAAGGGCTAACGCGTAAACTCTAACGGCGACACCAAATGCAGCAAAACCAGTAACAGTTGTTATTAATGTCATCGATAAATGCTAAAAAAATTTCCGATGTTAAGGATTGTGATTGAAGTATGGAGAAAAATGAACATAGAAACTTTAAATTCTAATTCATATCAGCATATAGGGATGGAAATCAATTCTCAAAAGATTTCAAAAAATTGTAGAGAATCGATCTATTCTCAAATATTTCGAAAATTTTGAGATTCAATTCCCATCCATAAATCCATACGAAATTTTATTTAATAAAGGTTCGAAATTCTTTCCTTAAACCGAATTCTTAAATAACCAATACGTAGATATTATCATACATGCTATCCAAAGATACATAACTTACCTATTCAAAAGGACCGGTGAGAAGAAAAAAGAATCTGCATATTTTATTTATATTTATACGGGATCGCCATCCGGATCGCTCCGAATTCCACGTGTTATTGATGGACTTTTAGATAACGATAAAAAATTCTCATGTACGCGACGCGACTTTTCTTACTTTATTATAAATGGATAAAATAACAATATCGGATGCTTTTACCGCTGAGGATATCAAATTTTTAGCGGAATATGAATTAATAACGATTGAGCCATTTTTTAATGCGGATGAATTTACTCTTTCTGGAGTAAATATAAATTTCTTCATATAATTATTACCTTTATTGGTTTAAGACTAATAATGGTTATTTACGTAATTTGATTTAAGATTCGGTATGGTCCATTTAGTCCTCTAAGAAAGACCAATGTACCTATTTGGGTAGCCCTAAAATTAAAATCTCAGAAATTATGTAAAATTGTCTCTCCTTCATGGTTCACCGTCGGTAAGTATTACTCTATATTGATCTTGCTATGATGTTTATCGTTTAAGTTATTGATTGTGATTGGTCAAGTATTCTTTCAACCTCTCTAAAAAC